TTTCTTCCTTCCTCTGCTCTTTCTTTCTTTTTCTTCCTTCCTCTGCTCTTTCTTTCTTTCTTCCTTCCTCTGCTCTTTCTTTCTTTTCTTTCTTTCTTCCTTCCTCTGCTCTTTCTTTCTTCTTTTTCTTTCTTTCTTCTGCTCTTTCTTTCTTTCTTTCTTTTTCTTTCTTTCCTCTGCTCTTTCTTTTTCTTTCTTTCCTCTGCTCTTTCTTTTTCTTTCTTTCCTCTGCTCTTTCTTTTTCTTTCTTTCCTCTGCTCTTTCTTTTTTTTTCTTCCTTCCCCTCTGCTCTTTCTTTTTTTTTTTCTTCCTTCCTCTGCTCTTTCTTTCTTTTTTTCCTTCCTTCCTCTGCTCTTTCTTTCTTTTTCTCCTTTCTTTTCTTTTTTTTCTTTTTTCTTTCTTTCTTTCTTTCTTTCTTCCTTCCTCTTTTCTTTCTTTCTTTCTTTCTTCCTTCCCTCTGCTCTTTTCTTTTCTTTCTTTCTTCCTTCCTTCTGCTCTTTCTTTCTTTTTCTTCCTTCCTCTTCTCTTCTTTCTTTCTTTTTTTCTTCCTTCCTCTGCTCTTTCTTTCTTTCCTCCTTTCTTTCTTTCCTTTCTTTCTTTCTTTCCTTCTTCCTTCCTCTGCTCTTTCTTTTCTTTTTTTTTTCTTTCTTTCTTTCTTTCTTTTCTTTCTTTCCTCTGCTCTTCTTTCTTTCTTTTCCTTTTCTTTTCTTTCTCTTTTTCTTTCTTTCTTTCTTTTTCTTCTTTCCTCTTTCTTTCTTTCTTTCTTTTTTCTTTTTTTCTTTCTTTCTTTTTTTCTTTTTTCTTTCCTTCCTCTGCTCTTTCTTTCTTTTCTTCCTTCCTCTGCTCTTTCTTTCTTTCTTCCTTCCTCTGTTTTTCTTTCCTCTTTCAACGTTAGTTTCTTTCTTTTCCTTTCTTTTTCTTTCTTTCTTTCTTTTTAAATATTTTTTTTCTTTTTTCTTTCTTTCTTTCCTCTGCTCTTTCTTTTTCTTTCTTTCCTCTGCTCTTTCTTTTTCTTTCTTTCCTCTGCTCTTTCTTTTTCTTTCTTTCCTCTGCTCTTTCTTTCTTTTTCTTCCTTCCTCTGCTCTTTCTTTCTTTTTCTTCCTTCCTCTGCTCTTTCTTTCTTTTCTCCTTTCTTTCTTTTCTCCTTTCTTTCTTTCTTTCTTTCTTTCTTTCTTTCTTTCCTCTGCTCTTTCTTTCTTTTTCTTCCTTCCTCTGCTCTTTCTTTCTTTTCTCTTTCTTTCTTTCTTTTTCTTCCTTCCTCTGCTCTTTCTTTCTTTCTTTCTTTCCTCTGCTCTTTCTTTCTTTCTTTCTTTCTTTCTTTCTTCTGCTCTCTCTCTCTCTTTCTTTCTTTCTTTCTTTCCTTCTTCTGCTCTTTTTCTCCTTTCCTATCTTTTAGATTAAAATCGAACGTTAGTTTCAGTAAAAGAAAAAAAAGAAGAGTGGGGGGGACCTGTAATCGACTAATCTATGGCCTCCACAAGGTACCTGCATCAGCTACGTTTAAAATCTGCCAGTATATTTTAAAATGTTGGACTTACAACAACATCAACTACTTTGGTACAAAGCCACATTTCTTGTGCACCCAGTGACTATAATAAGAACGGGTCTAACACTGATGGTCAGTGGACGGGCAGGTTTATCTCTGATATTCTATGTGATATATTACATACGAGATGTGTTCATTTCACAGATGAAATAAATACGTTATTGGTAGAAACGGATTTTAATCAGCAAACAGGTGTGTCTGCAAAATACGTTGGTAGTTTCGAAGCAGTAAGACTAACTAGTCACAGTTATTGACTCAGCCTCAGTTTTTTTTCTCTCTTTCCAATACAAAGCCATTTTCAGAGTAGAGTTTAAAATATGAGGAAGTGCTGAAAAATTCTCAACCCAACTAAGAAGCCTTTTAAAAGGCATCTTATCAGATTTTGGTTTTATATATAGAAATTTAAAAGTACTTTTAAGTATTTGTTATTAGGATGATAGAACGGGACTACAACAGTGGGCCACATAGTGAGGATCACTTTCTGTAAGTAGTTGTCGTTTAGCTCTTTATTGCTCACGTTTTCGGGTAGAGGTTTTTAAAAAAAATATTGAAGGCAAGAGGGGCAGAGGAAAAGCACGCGTAACCTACCCACTGAGCTCGAGTAAATGGATGGTAGAACAAAAAACAAAATTTATTAAGAGCTAAAAAAAAGGATAGAAACTGAAGAGCCATGTTCGCCAACGTCCTGAAGGGACACGGCACAGAAAAGAAAAGATATAAAAATAAGATTTATTTATATCTATAATAATAATAATAATAATAATTATTATTATCATTATTAATAAATTTGCTAGTCATTGTCATTATGTAATGTACTTGGTACATTTCTGGTAACTTTATGTGAAGGCTTCCGTTAGAAATTTGGTAATAAAAGCCAAGAGGTATATTTTTTTTGTTTAATTATTGAAACCTTTGTATTTTTAATTTTAATTAAATAAATTAAGTTTTTATTTATTTTTTTATTATTTATTATATTCTATGTGTTGGGGTGGGCAGAGGGATGAAATTTTGACGAAAAAAAAAAAAAAAAAAAAATTATCACCCAGGGAATAATTCTTCGACGAAAACAAAATGTTTAAAAATTCTTGACTTCGTTTTTAACTTCTTTATCTCTAATACTTTTTATTTTAAATAAACACGTGTAAAACACCTTATCTATTTCATAAACGATCTATGAATTAAAAAAAAAATACATTAACAAAAAAACAAAACAAAAAAAAAAAACGAGTCTTGTTTTTCTTTTATGCCAATGCCATCTCACATTTAATGGCATTGACTCATGGTTAGAGAGGGAGGATACTGGTTGCTTGATCCACAAGTTGCATGGCGACTACTTCGAAAATCAGCCCCCAGACCCAGGCACGAACCAATAGCAGCATTTTCTGTCCATGGCGTCATCACATATAAAAAGACATAACGTTTCTTTCTTCGACACTCATTGTAATTTATTACTGCCAAACGACTTGCTTAATTTTAAATTCTACTCGCATATGTTTTCTTTCTTCCCTTCCCTCTCTTATTTCTTTTCTCTTCTCTTCTCTTCTCATCAGCAATTACCTTACGCTTACTTGTAAAATATAAATTATAAATTGTGCCTGTGGAATATTTGAATTTGTACTGTACACAAGCTGGCTTAATTAAATTAGTAAGTAAGTGTATAAAAGTAAAAAAACTGTTTGCATAGGTTATATTAATTTTTTTTTTTTATTTCAATACTGTCTGACCGAATTGTTATTTAAAAAAATGTTTTTTTTTTCTTTTCCCAGAACGTAATTCAATATTTTTTTGTCATGTGGCAAAGATAGTTGTATATTTTCTATCACTGTTAGAGCCCAAGAAAAGGCCAAAATTTCGAATAATTTATTTTATTCTTTTTTTTATTTATTTATTTATTTTATTCTTTTTTTTATTTATTTATTTATTTTATTCTTTTTTTTATTTATTTATTTATTTTATTCTTTTTTTTATTTATTTTATTCTTTTTTTATTTATTTATTTATTTTAAGTCGCGGAATCCTCACTCGGAAGATTTGGCGCAACATAATCTCCCCTCTCACTATCTTCGCGCCTTAATAAGTTCAACGGAGTAATGCAGTTATTTAAACTTCTCCCCCACCCTTTTTTTTTTTTTTTTATATTACCGTTACCCACCGAGGGAGCTTAAAATATTTTTTTGGTTAAATTTCTGAGCACAGCTTTATTTAAAAAGTCATTTTTTTTTTTTTTTTAATTTATGAAATATTTTAAATTTAAATGATTTCGGATACAATGATCAAGTCGATTTTAGAAATATCTGAATGTAAACCGATGGAAAAAAAATTAGATGCCAGCTCATACAATCGAACTTAAATTGCCAGATGTCAATTGAAAATCATATTTTGTTGTTGAATGATAATTTTGGTACGAATCCACTAATGATCCTCACTGAGTGCCCTATACTTCCGTCCTTGTGCCACATCTAATCTACACTTATTAAGTCAATCACTATAACATACAAACGACCTAATGACTGAAAAAGCAGAACGATTCAAGATACTACTAATTAATTCCTTAAAAAAGGGTTTCTCTTAAAAGTAAAACTGTACCATATGCTCCAAGCACCCATAAGTGGCCATATTGTCGCTTTTTTTAATTTAAAATATTCAAGTCTTAATATATTACAAAAAAGGTAGTTGGTTTGATTTAGTTGTAAGTTTTTATTGATACGTGGCCTGATTTTTTTAATTTTTTTAAAAAAAAAAAAGAAAAAAAATTTATTAGTTTTTTCTATAACACGTGAGGATCGTGGGTTTTAGGCAGCTTAGTCCAGTATAGGGGTGAATAACATTGTTAATGCTAGCAGTAAAGAACGACACTTGTTTTAAATGGATATAACTTGGTCTCGAACCTCTGAGACCACTGGGAAATATGCAACTATTTCGACCATCAAGCACACTAGTAGTTTTTAAAAAGTCAACTGATCGCATAGGGTAATTACTTTTTTTTTTTCTCTCTCTCTCTCTCTCAAAGGAGTGTCTCGGGTCATTGTTTTTGTGAATTGGATTCTAACTAGGTGCTTAATTGTTAGACGAAGGTGTGTGTAATTTATTTTTATGGATCACAAATTAGTGTTACTAAAAATAAGTTAAAATTTTAATGTAAAAAAAAAAATCAATTTATTATTTATTTAATTTATTTTTTAAATAGTCTTGACGCAACCTGTTTTTTTTTTTTTGTACGAATTGGGTTTTTTTTTATTAATAACTAGCATTTTTTTTCTACTTGCTTTAAAATATATTTACAAGTTGTAATTTTTAAAATGCTAAAAAGAAACCCTTTCTTTATACTAATTGAAAAAAATGCTAATATCTGTCGAGCATTTATTTTCTGTGCCTGAACATATTGTGTAGTAGTTTGCACAAGATGTAGGTCATGATAGAAAGACGAGGAAAGTGATTGGTGCGTTGTTCGTTTGATGAGTGTAGCACAGCAGTCTTTCTCTCTCTCTTTTTTTTCTTTCTTTCTTTTTTTTTTTTTTAAAAGACTCTCTTTGTCTCTTTCTTTCTTTCTGCATTATGTAACTCTGTACTTGATTGAGAGCTGTTTTTCTTTCATCGTTCAGTTTCGGATGAGCCATATTCCACTTACATACTGAAAAGCAAGACATATCCACACGAACATATATAATCACGCTTTAAATTATTAATCATAATACTTCGTTCTTTGTGTGGCCGGGGGGGGATAGAAAGCGAGAGAGAGAAACAGAGAAACATGGACACATGTAAGATGCTACACAAAAGTTCAGAGAATGTAACCAAGGAAAAAGTTTCTTGTCTCGACTGTTAGTTTCCACAGTTTCCTTTGAAGTGATTTGCTTGGTCAATTTTCGCATTGATTCACAAGGTGTAATGGACAAAGTCTGTCCTGTTCAAATTACACAAACTTTTGAAGAACAAAAATCAACATATAATTTATCAGTGGAGGTTCTCTCTCATGTTTTTTTTCCCCGCCAACACTAATGTTCGCTCTATACAAGGCCCAAAAGCCACTCAAGGTAGGTTATTGAAGGTAGTTATGTAAGTAATAATTAACCCTAGACTTGAACAGGTTAAGATTGTAGTGGTTTTTTAGGAACAAGGCCCAAGAGCCATTCAAGGTAGGTTACTGAAGGGAGTTGTGTAAGAAGTACAGTTAATCATGATGATATGCGGAAAAGATAGTGGTAAACTAGGCACTTGAAGAGGTTAAGATTGTAGTAGTTTTTGGGAAGATGATGTTCATGTGGACTTCCCTTCTTATTAATGGAAATGCTCCTGTGTGTGTGTGGCATGACAGGTCTGAGTTCTGAAGGTTAGAACTCATGGAATTAAGGAATTCAGTTCATCAGAACATTTTCCATGGAATTTGTGATAGAGTAGTGAGAGGCTTGCGACATTTCTTCTGTGAGGAAAGGGGTTGTAGAATGGAAAATAATTCATCACCCACAAGGCCGCGTATATGCTTTTGAACTCTATCAAGGCAGGGAAATGAAAACTGACCAGCTCCAGAGCCAGATATGGCAGAAGTATTACATTTTTAGTCTGATTTGGTTCTTGTAAGGGCATAATAGGAGTCAGTTTTGTGTACCATTCTTGTAAATACCTGACTATTTTTTCAACATTTTTACCAATGGATCATATATACAAGTTCCACATGAAGTCTGGGGTGAAAAGTCCCAATAGACTTTCAAGGCAAAAGTCCCCCTGGGCAGAGGGAAATTATCATTAGATCTGATGTCCCTTAATTGACACAGCCACAAAGAAATTTTGCCAATCAAGCAAGGTCTGAACAGTTTGGCTCTGCCCAGAAGGATACAGGTTTGAATCCTGCTGGAGAGCACATAATTTTCTTTCGGAAATATTCAGCCTAGTAGATGAAAATATACTGTTTAATAACAAAATGGTGTTTCTACTCAAATATAAGTATCCATTAAAAATAATGTTTAAAGTGATGTATATAATTTCAAATAGAATATATCTGTAAAAGGAAAATATGAATAAAGACAAAGGGAAAAACTTAGCTTAGCCGACATGTTTCGTCCTCTGAGAAACTTTATCAAGGCAAATGCAAAGATTTTATTTTGTAACAAGTACTTATATACAAGAGCAAAAAAATGTTGCCCCCACAGAAATACAATAACATTTTTGCTCTTGTATATAAATACTTGTTATAAAATAAAATCCTTGCATTTGCTTTGATAAAGTCCCTCAGAGGATGAAATGTTGGCTAAGATAAGTTTTTTTCCTTTTGTCTATATATATATATATATATATATATATGACTCTCCCATCAAATTCAACGTATGAGGGTCAAACAGATCAGTTCCTAGGAAACCAACAGCCCGACAACAGCACATGAGATTTGATTATAGTGGTGAAGGTTTCGTGCAGGACCATCCACACTTTTTGAAGGGCCGAATACAGAGACCTGGTGCACTACGTGTCACAAGATCCCCTCAGGTTTCTTCACTTAGGCCAGTTGCCATCCAAGGCTATAGAACCCAGTCTGTCCTGCTATTTACCCATAGCTGGAGGGAGAAGAGGATTCACACCCTTTCCTAAGAGTATTAGCACATAAGTGAATGTAATGGATTCAAGTGAAATTCACACTCGGCTCTTCGATTCCTCAATCCAAGCCGCTATCCATTACCATTACTCCACCATGCATATATATATATATATATATGCAGTACTTATTTGAAAGCACTCAATATCAGTGATAGTGCTAGCATATTTAGTTGGGTTGATGTGAGTTTGTGACTTTGGGTTTCATGCTATTTATGATCATCCGTAGATTGCAAATAGTGTGAACCCCAGGGTCACAAACTCACTCCAACTAAAATATATATATATATTATTTCTGGAAAAAAATTACTAGAAATATTGAAAGGTTAAATAAAAAGATAATCGAAAAAATTTATTCTTTTTAATCAAATG